GAATCAGGTAGTATCCCAGTATCCTGCCCGGCCGGCCACAATGCAAACATGACTTTGCAATTAAGTTATTGTCGGTCAGAAGGAGCAGGCTGGCCTGGGAGTCCTTAGAGCGCTTGCTCGTCTCCTTGAGGCTGGGCGGAAAAGTGTTGCAGCCAGAAAAAGGAGCTCTCGTTTGATTTATGGCCACTTGCATTGGCTGCAGCAGGACTTTAAATCATAGACCAGCTCCTTGGCCAGTTAGTTAACCTCAAATTGTTACTTACGCATTTAGTAGCTGGCACTGCCCCTGGAGTTTATGGGGCAAGAAAGTGAAATTCAAATTGAATTGAATTGCTATGCAAATTTTTGGCCCCTTGTTAGTCTGCATTCTGCCCTAATTTAAGCTGGAATATACACTATATCTGGATATGACGTTTAATTAAGGCTACCACCAGCTGGTGATTGACACTCCCCAAAAATATGCGTTTGTTGATACGATTTAATTGCCGAGCAGCTTTTTCCCCACTCCGTCACGGATCAATTTGGAAAATGTTTCATCTCAGTGGGAGCCCAAAATGGCCAACCACAAAAAAACTGAATTCTAGTTTGACCATTGCAATGACAGCGAAAATTCAAAATGCAAATTGTTGGAGCCTTCAAATGTGCATCTCCAGCGCATCTGATTTATTTTCGCCATTCAACCAATTTAAATATCCATTTACTATCAGTAATATTACACAAAACACAACAAAAGGCAAAATAAATCGTTTTATATTTCATTAAAATTTAATACAATTTTATTTTCATTTTAGTTTGTCGCCCTCTTTTATTTGTCTGCCTTTCGTCGCGCAGTTTTAAATATTGGTCCTGGTTTAATTTATTTGACATTTTTCTTTTTTGCTGGCTCTCCAATAGAACACACGGGGCAAGCAAACAAAGCACGGCAAAACATTCGCAATAAAAAGTCAAAGAATAAAAGCGCACAATACCGTAACTAGCTCTCGTCGAAGCTCCGACGTTCCGCATTTCATATCGAATGGGGGGACAAACATTTGCATTACGTATACGCGGCGTTGCACAGACAACTGCAGGCTCCGCCGTGCGCTAGCCCTGCATTTGATATATTAAACTTTCGAACTATAACTCAGCATTTATTGTGAATATTTGATTGTTTTTATTGCCAACGAAATCAAAAATTGAACAAACTTGTTAGCGACGAAATGGAATAAAAGCAATTTTCGTCTGGAATTACAATGTTTTCGTTTGCTTCGTTTCTGGCGAAATAGAAAAATCTCAGTATCAGATCCACAGCCTGTTTCATTGGTTATTTTACACATTATTTTACACATTAATTTACACCTGGATAAAGTAAATGTGGGTTAAACATAACGCACTTGTGGCCTTACCCCAATGAAGTGTTGGAGTTTCTCCCAGAGAAAAATATATACAAATTATTGTGGGGGACAATAAGATGCTTTTATAATGTGGGTATATCAATTGGCTGTGAGTTAGATATTTAAAGTTTTAATTGCATATTTAATTAAATTTATATTCAAAACAATTTAGCAACATAATGCACACCAGTGGGTGTAAAGTTTAATATTGATTTTAGCCTTGCACTGTGAACAGTGACTGTTTAACTAATTAAAATATAAGAACTAGCTTACTTAACAAATATTTAATTAAAATGGTTACATATAAGCATAAATTATAATATTACTTTCATTTTATATGATTTCGATTTTCCTTATCGCATGTTTCCTCTCAATTAATAGTCATCTCTAGGATCAGGTGGATCAGACACAGAGGCAACCTGGGCCGCCAATTGGAAATACATTTGTCAGTAACCACACAGGCAAAATACTACAGCAATGTAGGGATGCAGGATATGAGCTGATAGTGCTCCTCCCCCTTAGCTTAACCCTGGGCAGATGCGGTGGGAAGGGGCGTGTTAAGTTATCGGACGCCTGTTTTGCGGGCCCAGACAACTTGTAAGTGCGGTCGGCGAATGGAAGGAGAGGCTGTAGTGAGAGAGCCCATTGTCACACCTGCGGCAGGAATCTATTATATTTCAATAATGCCGCTACTATCGCATAAATAAACAACCGCAGCCGGCCAAACACATGGCAGCAACATAAATCTGTTTGTTCATTTCCATTACCCGGCAACATCATATCCAACTGTATCGGTGTGTTTCTTTTTTTTTCTGCTTCACCTAAAAATATGGCAGGGCCGATAATGGTTATATAAAGCCAATAAACTGCACTGAATCCTTGTGTGAAATGCATAGAAAAATCCCATGACACTGCAATTGAATTTCATTCATCGCTGTCGGCTGGATTTTTTGGCAACTTTAATTGATTTATTTATTCATATTGATGCAACTTTAAAAATTTACCAAAGCAATTTGAATGGACATATCTGAAATTCTATTGACAGTTTTTGCTGTTTTGGTTGTTTGCCCAACTGAAATAAATTGTACGCTTGAACAGGCATCGCCTGTCGTCACCATAGTCATCGTCGTCATCATCATCATCATCATGACTGCCCTGGCCCTCGGTGCGTATACAATATTTTGTTTACTTACGTGCCGTCTGCGTCCAAAAGTCATCGTTGACTTACAATTTGCCAAAACTTTTACCCCATAAGAAAAACTTAAAGGCGTCTCCGTATTGAGTTACCATTTGTCATTTGGTTTGGTGGGTAAGGAGTTGTCGAAAATATTCAAAGTCGCTACTGAGTCAAAGCCAAAAACGAATAGACCGTAAAGAAATGGGCGGCATTGGGGAAAAATTAACAGCAACATAAATATCATTCTGAAAAACAAATAGTCGTTAAATTGTATTCCGTTTTATATTCGGCAACATCATGTTCAAGGAGATAAAGGATTTCGTCGCGTGGCAACATGAGAATAGAAAAAAACAAACAATATTTTTCCAGGCTGAATGCTCTACAATGGCGTATTAGGCTTATTAGGGAATAAATGATTTAACTTTAAAAATAATTTAAATACAAAAATAGTTTTATTTGTAGTGTTTTCCGAACACTAAACAATCTCTTTCTTACAAATCCTACAGCTTTTTTGTATATTATTAGACTGTAATATTAATTAAAATATTTTAAAAATACATATTATTATGTAAATTAAATAATAAGCACTTAAAAAAATAACAATCTAGTAGTGTAGCTCATTTTTTAACCATTTCGATTCACTAAAACCCTTTGTTTTTAGTGCTAAGCTCGCCACCATGTCACGTAGGCCGCTCAGGAGCTGTGTGGGCTCCAAGCAAGGGATCTGTGGCCTTCGCATCTGGAGTGCCCTCGTGCATCAATTGGCCAAGTCGAAAAGTCCTTGTATGTCCCGCTGGCGAGCCTTGCATGTGGCACGCCCCGGGCTGAGTTATTACTTAGCGTCCTTCGCGGCGCTGTCTGCGTTTAGCGCGAAATACTTGTTATTGTTTATCGCGAAAGTAACAGAACATTATAGCTTTTTATATCATTTACGTTTTACGTCATGGCCCAATGCAAAGGCGAGTGGAGGCCTCCCGGCTTCCGGGTAGTTTATGACTGATGGGCCTGACATACGATACTTTCCGCCACTGACCAAGTTCTCCGCTCCGCCCCGCCACTTTTTGCATCATTACTGACACACGCACCCGAGAATTTGTCGTCGTGTTTCTGGCCTTTGTTTTATGCCTTATGTCATATTTTTTGGCATGGCTTTTTAATATCATGCGACTGGCGTTGATGTCGTGGCACGTAAATGTTTTTAATGTCCAATAAAATTATCGTTCCAGATAAAGCTGTTTGGCAAAAACAATGCACCCGCCATGTATATGGCCATACTGGATACTTTGGTTCCGGAAATGGAGCAACTTTATGACAAGTGTTGATTGCATATACTCCAACTCCTGCTCCAAAGCTCACACGATATATTTCTCAAGAAATAAGAGAGTACGTTTTGAGTTTCATAGATACCCTAAAGAATTTTTAGTTACTTAACTTTTTTAATGGGAAAATAGCAATGGTTCAGATTTTTATAATTACTAACACAGTAATTAATTATTTATCTCATTGGTACTCTCAGCGAATAAATCCCTTTAAATTGCAATTGAACAGGATCACACCGCACGACAGCAGATCAGACGGACAAGAGCAAGCCAAAGCTGTCCCAAATCCCATGTGGAAACCCAATCAAAGCGACTTTAATGCAAATGCCCTGCCATTTTCCAGTTCCATTCGGTTCCGTTGACACACAAAAAACAGAAACACGGGTGAAAAAAGAACCAGAAAGGAGATAGTAAATCAAGGATATAGAAACAGGGACGAGCCGGCAGTGCGATTTGTGCTCATTTGTCAATACATCGTGCCACTCTCTCCACGTCAATCCACATAACGTATACGCCCCTTTGGCCATGCCAAATGCAGTTCGCTGCAGCAGCAACAGAAGCCGCGAACGCTGTTGTTTTTCCTTTCGGAGGGAAGCCCCACGGAACACAAAACACAGAACAATCGCATTGTCAGCTCGCTCTTCGCCCTGAGCCCGCTTTGCTGTTGGGATTTTAATTTATAATTCAGCTCTCGAGCATGTCATCAAAGAGTTTCATCAATATGCACTCCAAATCAACTCGACGACGACGTAAACCGATTAAGCTATTCCCCGATTGAGGTAACGATTTAGTTGGTTCAGTTGGTTTTCTGCTGAAAAGAGATGTTTCGGTAAACTGAATTCAGTATTTTGTGCTCTACTACAAAAATTAACTAAAGTTCTCATTTTGAAATTGTTTTTTTTGGCGAGATTGAAAGCTCAAAGATTTATTGGTTCAAGCGATAAGAAGAGAGGCAACCTCACAAACACTCAAAGCAATAATTCATTATTTGATTAGTGTTGAATCCCGAGGGTAAATTCGCATTAATCGCTGAAGAATAATTAGCGGCTCTACCAACACAACTGTGAATGCTATGAAGATTTGGTCTCGCATTGCTGTCGGATCGTTGAGACCCGCAGTACGTAAGTTCTTCCCGAAATGATTACACGCGCTTTTTTATTGGCGGGCTTTTGCTTGCTTTATTTTTTCTCGCTGACTGGTTTGTATAAATGCGTGTAGATTTCTAGGAATCACTTGAAAGAACAATATATATTTACCATTTAAAGTGGATGCTAGCCTCCAAAGGAAATGGTTTTTCGACTGCAACGATGGACAGCAGATACCCTCCCACTTGAAATGCAATGCCCACAAGGACTGCAGAGATGGCAGCGATGAGACCTTTGTCGAGTGCCGCAAGGTAATCTGTCCCGAGTTCGCGTGTTCCTACGGCGGCTGCTACGAGGAGAGTCAGCAATGTGATGGTAATGAAGATTGCTGGGACCAAACAGATGAACATCCAGAATATTGCAGTCCGAACACGATGAATACACCCGCTATAGACAATGGGTCATGGCCACGATGTGGGTAAGTGAGTCATTCAGACAGCACAGCTGCTTATCAATTATTATTTAAACCCAGTGATAAGGCAGATAATCCCACTCTCTCTCTCTCTCTTTAGATTAAATGAGTTCAAGTGTGTAAATTCCTCCGAGTGCCTTGACATAGAGTTGGTTTGCGATGGCATCAGGGACTGCCAGGATGGCAGCGACGAAACCCACCAGAATTGCCTGATCTCAAAGTGCACCAACGAGACGTTCCGCTGCGCCTATGGTGGCTGCCTGCCTCAGGCAAAGGTCTGCGATCACGTGGTCCATTGCTGGGACAGATCCGATGAATTGCCATCCATTTGCTCCGAGAACCGGACCTCGCCATGGGCCATACATGATTCACCAAAGCGCATTGTTCGAGCCACTCAAAGGGATGAGGCGAGCATCTCAAAGGGCTGCAAGGTGCCAGGAAATCTACAAAATTTGCACTTCAAGACTTTGTTCAACACCCTACCATACCACAAGGAAATGAACATAGCAAGCTCCACAGTAGTGCGACTGAGTTGCTTGAACAACACCGAGCTGTATGGGCCAGATCTAAACCACTGCTTGGAGGGAATATGGGAGGGTAACTGGCCTGAGTGCAGGGAAACCTGTCGGCGAAAATTTAGCAGGGACACCTCCATCCAAGCCATATGTCAATACAACAAAGGGCCTGAAACAAGCTGTAACCGAAAGGAGACAAAGCTTTTTATTGGATCGACTGCAAACATATATTGCGCACCCAGTTACATTCCGAAGGGCAATGTATTACCCCCAATGGCCCTCGAGTGCAGAAAGGATATAAAGAACGCAGGTAGGCCTTATTGGAGTCAGTTAACAAAAGGGGACCAACTCCACTGCGTTCCCGAATGTGGCAAGATCCACCCCGCTGGTGACCAGGAGCCTTGGATCGTTAGCATTTTCACAAGTGACATATACAACAGGAAGTTTGCGTTTAACGTATATGGATATATAATTAGTCCTTGGGCGGTTCTTATCGATAAGAAAAATGTCTTTACGGACGATGTATTGCGATATGCCATAGCCGAAGGACGGCACGAAGTCGAGTACACTGAGGATGATGAGCAAGCCTATCAGCTTCATTCCGTGAAAAGTATTTACAAAAGGGACTTTACCTTCCATGCCATTTTGGAGCTGGTTAATCCTTTTATACTCTCCCCATCGGTGCGTCCAATATGCCTGCTTCCAATTCCTAAAAATGTATCTAATACCACCTCGAGTGGTATCGTTACTATCAGCACGAATGATCAGAAAATAAGCTACCTAAAAAACATTGAACAAATTATCATTAGTAAAAGCGAACTTATTATTAACCGACAAAAATCAAGCAAGATCATGGATGATAAGTACACTGATAAAAAAATTCAAGAATTTTGGTCTTAAAAACGTGATTTTTCGGTCACGAAAGTCGCGTAAGCATATTTTGGTCTTCTTTTAAAATTTTTGTTCTTAAATAAAACCTAAAAAATCTCCTTTCTAGATTTTTTGGTCTTCTTTTAAAATTTTTTGGTCTTATATCAAGATTTTATTTTAAGAATGCACAAAATCTTAAATATAGATTTTTTTTTTATCAGTGTAACTGTGAAATAAAATATACTCTGATGATACTTTGAAATATAGAACAATTTACTCAACGTTGTTGTAAAAGATTTTTGCTGTTATTGTAAACAAGGACAGGGCTTTAATCTCTACATATGTAGGACAAACTCATGATTTCAAGCATCCGTCGCTCAGAGTGAAGCAGAGGGATAATTATCTTTGGTGCTACCTATTATAATAATATGTTAGCTCCAGTGACGGCAGCTAGCAGATCAACTAATATTTAATACCGCTTTCATATACGGGATAGCCTGAAAATGAAAATCTTCTATAAATACAAATACATGATTCGGTTTTTATAAAATTGATAACATTTTAAGATTATATTCTTACGCTAAAACGTAATTTTTAACTCATTCCCATAATGCTTATAGTGTCGCAACAACAACAACCAAAACAAAACTGTATCCAAATCACTTTTATTATTTACCTCATTAATTTCCCTTTGAATCCATTAAGCTAAACGCAAAAAATTGAACTGGGAACGCTTGCATTTGGCAAATTGTCTGAGATTTTGACAAAGGACTGGCAAATTTCCGTGGCACGCATTTTTTGTGTACGGGAAAAGTTGAAACTCGAACGCAAACTTTTTGCTGGCATCCTTATTTTTGCGTATATTTTATACTTCTCCGCCCTGCGCTGACCAACACACACGCATTACGCATACGCCGCGTCAGCCTAATTGACAAGGGTTGAATATGCGGCGGCAGCACAACTTTTTTGCTGAAATATGTCAAATGTCATGCTTAAAAGGGGACAAAGTTTTTCCTAGTTTTCGGTTTAACCCTTTCGGTGTCCCTGCCAAATGGCACAAAAATGTTCAAGTGTCCGTTGACTTAAAACTTATCCGAGCCGCATTAAATACTTTGCAAATATCTGTGGCAGAGCGCAGAGATCTTGACCCCCGATCACCTGTCTGCGCTCTATTAAGGGTCTCTTCCGGTCTGGCTAACCGTGCTTTTCCCGCACTAATGACAAATATGGCCCCGTGAGTTACGGTCGTGCAATGAAAATTTATCAAAATCCAATGGCAGCGGCAGCAAGGAAAAAAAGCTGCGATTCGTATACGCAATTTGAGCAACTTGCAGGAAACCAGAGGTAAACAATATTTTTCAGTTCATTGAACGGAATAAGCTTGTTTCCGATAAGGAAGGGGAAAAAGAACATGGCTAACACATAAACACGACTCCCTGCCAGCGTGTTGTGGGTGTGTGTGTGTGTGTGTGAGTGCGTGAGTGTCCTGGCCCACACAGACATTGTTGTCCTTGTCTGGCTGTCTATTGGCCTGTCTTACATTGCGTCCTATGTTTGCCTCGACCATCGTGAACATGCCACAACAACTGGCACACAGCACACTATTCGCCGAGTTAAGGATTTCTCTCCAGGCCAATAAGTAGCCAGCAGGCCAGGCCAGGATGCGGATGGTAGAAATGGGAAATGCTGGGGAAATTAAAGCTTTTGATATCGAATTCTAGTTTGCAGCTTCACAGAACAAAGTGAAGAGCATTCGTAGCTTGTACTTTGTATTTTGAATCGGGCTCTGTAATTTTATCTGTCTTCCAGTTAAAGTTCAACCTGCAGTTGCCAGGAAACCAACCCTGTATCTCCTGTGATGGTTCTTCCTCTTAAAAGTTTTAAGTATAATTCCAAAACTATATCTTTTTGTATTTAACTATATATTGGATGTTTAATTCAAGAAACACCAATTTCCTTTGACTCCCATGTGCTAAAGCCATAATTTCCAGCAGCTGACATTAAATCTCAGCGAGTTATGCAATCTGCGAACTAACGCTTACAAATCAGGTTCTTGCACACCTGCGTCTTTTCCTTCCTTTTCCAGTTTTTCCTCTTCCCGTCTCGCTTATTTCCAACTTGAGCTCCTCAAATAAGCAAATCACGTGCTTTTTGTCAGCTCAACTAAAGCAAAACCCCCGGGAACACGCACACTCGACAACTGAAATTAATGTGTGTTTGTAAATTGTGTAAATTATAGCGCAAAATAAAGGCACAGTGCATAATATAATGATATAAAGTGGGGAAATAGTTTTCTAAATTATAAAATATCTGAGAGAATATTATCTTATAATGTCAAGTACTCAAGCTAAACTTTAAGTTCGATGTAAAAGTGTTTATTGTTGAATTCCCAATATCACACACCACTGTTAGACAGAGATAGTTATTTTTGGGAATGGAACATGTCAGGGGATAAGCCAGCAATCCGCTGGCATCAGAATGCTCGCATGTAATAACTGAGTGCGGCAACCGCTGCGGATACTTAACGTGAACAGATGATGCTACATGTGTTGGATCCGCGACGTAAGCAGCGCCGACACCCTCTTCCGAAGGGGTGCTGAAAATAACTGATACGACACACGTTGTGAGACTTGCAAATTTATCTGTTTAATAATAGTCAAGCAGGAGCAGCAGTTTCCCATTTTAAGTTACTTTTTTTGAGGTTCCCGCACGTCCAACTTCCAAATGTCCAGCGGAGTAAGCAACATTTGAAATTCGACGAGAAGCGTACAAAAAGAGAGGGAAAAGGGTAGAGGGGACTGAGAGATGGGCCAAAGTTAAGCCGGGGGAGCGGAAATGTTGCGTTGCACATGTGACAAGTTTTTCAGGGGACATGTTGTCGTCGAAAGCGGCAAAAACAGTTCGCAGTTCGGCTGGTTTGAGTTTAGTTCAGTCGAGTTTCCAGTTAAGGTGAACTGCCATTTTACAGTTTGTATATCAAACTGGCACACAAGAGGGCTTTGCGGGGGACAGAGAAGCAGGACTTCTAACAAAAAATTGCATTGCATACAGCGCGGGGTCACGGCTTCAAATCGTCGCCGTCACACAAAACCAGGCAAACTTTTTTCACAGCATACACAGCGCAAATGAAAATGACTGAAGAACAAATCCTTAAAAAAGGTTTAATAATTATATTTATTTTGAGAGATTTTTAAAGGAACCGTAATTAACTTTATTGAGAGGATACTTTAGTCTAAGCTCAACCTTAAATGCTTTTTTTTTCGGTGTATGTGAATGCGTTTCTTTGCCATTTTTTTTATTTTCGGTCAGCGTCAAGGCAACTTCCAAAATGCATTTCACTGCGGCTTTCATTTTCGTGCTTGTTGGACACGCCCACAATGCCACAGTGGCCTCCGCCTCCGCCCCCGAAACCCGAATTCCCACCAACGCCTTTTTCTGCCACAGCATCGCGCTCTGGTTATAAATTTAAGCCCTGCGTGGTTTTAATTTTTTTCGGGTGGTTTCCCTCCCCGTCTCCATTTGGGCTCTCGCTCTCTGTTTGTTCTTACAACGCCCCCAATGGAATCTTGAGCTGCAGCACCGTCCAATTCCCACATGTCCTCGTTGTGTCGCTCCTGGGTCAAACGTGTGCCCTCGGTTCAGTTGGGGTTTAAACGGTTAAGTGCTGGCTAAATTGTTTCATTCTTTTCTTGCTTACCTTTGGCCGATTCCTTTCTACCAGCCCCCTTCCCTGCCCCTAACGAACGGCATCGAGACCGTTCCCTTTTGTATCTTTTGTTCAGAGCCATCCGTCCTACGTGCGTGTCTAAGGTTAAATTGCACATGTTGCCATGCGTTTTTCCTGCTGCCACTGATGGTTTTGTACTTTTGGGTTTAACCTCAAGGTGTTAAGCTGTCGTTTTTTGCCGGCTTCCCTAGTCTGTCCAGTCTATTGATTCCGAAGGAGGCAAAACAGTGGGCGTAATTGTCAAATGATGTAGTTGCACCGGCCAAGAGGAAGCAAAAAACTATAGAACATCTCAAATGGAAGTCCAGCTGAAAGGCTTTAGAATCCAATGAGAATAAATATCAGTAAATAGATCTTAAATTAAGCAAATCAATTTGGTTTTCATATTTTTATTTAGAAATTGATTTAAGCTAATCTAGCAGAACAATCCTTTTCCCTCGCTTTGTATGCCGCGATTGAGTTTTAAATGTTTAATACTGAAAACCAATTAAACTCCTAAAGTTAATTAAACCTGGGTAGCACAAAAAGCACCATTGCGGTAACAGCAGCACAATAACGCATAACGCATACGCAGCGTTGACAATAGATCGCCGCCCTGGCCCGCGGGCTCATTGGAACAATACACGGCGGCAAAGCTCCAACTGCTACGCGATATTGCTGCACCTAAATATAAAGCGATGGCGGAGCATATCCAACTGGATGTTGATGAAGCAGCCAAGGGCTGTGCAAACGCAACTCATAACCGAGGCATTGTGGATTTAAGCTCAGCGGAATAATACTCGCACGCACCGCGACTACACTCCTTTGAGTGCGATTCTAGTTCTGCAATTGCAATCGCAGCTGCCAGTCGATGTGTCCTGAGATAACAGGCACTCCGCCGGCAGGGATTTTGCCAGCGGACTGGCAGTTTTTCAAAAATTATTACCATTTTTCATCGTTCGCATACGTTGCGTATACGCAGCGGGTGACCAGTCTGAAGAGAGAACCCTTCCCCACAACTTTCAGTTCCCTTTGCCAGAGATATCAAATATGGCCATCGAAGGGAAATCTGGCTAGGTCCCCTCATCCCAGCTACATTTTCCTTTCCCTTTGAACCTGTCAATAATTTTAATTAGCTTTTCCACTTTCCAAAGCAGACACACCCTGGCAACATTAACGTTTTGACAAATTAATTTCCGTTTCTTTCTAATTATTTTTTCAGTTGGTTGGTTTTCTTTTTATTGTAATTGTACGTGAATCGGAAAGTGATTCACTTTTAAGTAGTATAAAAAGCAAGGAGATCACTTGGCAGTAAGGGTCTGATTGGCCTGACTTGAAGCGTAAACAGGAAGTTGTTCGTTAAAGCCATTCCGTCTGCGACATCCTAGAAAGAAAAATTGAAAGAGCCTATAATAAATTTGCAAATACTCGAATATTTTAGATAAAGGAATCAAAGTCCTATGATTTCATCAACAAGCCAGTTCCACCTTCAAGGTTACGTGTCACTGACATCCTCATCATCGCCCTGTTCATCAGGCATAAAGTAACAAGTAAATCTGTAAAATTAAAACGAGATGTCAACCAAAATGCGCACAGCCAGACGGACGGACAGAAAGAGGCTCGTTTTGCGTTTGTTTTTCAGTGGTTGGTTTTTGGGGGTTGCCGCAGCCACCGCAAGCTCCGTCCCCATACATCGTCGGCTCTTCATTTGTGTGCATGAAATATAAATACGAAACACATCCTGTGGAACCTGCTGGCTCCTGTGAAATGTCTGAGATTCATCCGCCGAGTGTATGTGTGTGTGTGTGGCAGGTGTGTACATTGTATTGACACCGAAAACCCCAAAACATATGGCTGATGATGATGGTAAAGGGTTGATTTTATGTGAAAGTGTTAATTTGATTAATACAATTCTGGGACTTTGGTTAATATATATTTTGACAACGAAAAAAAGGCCACAAAGGAGCCATTGTACATCATATATCTTCGTAAATTCTGATTAACAGCGACAGCCTTAATATTAACTGCATTTTTTACAGATTTTTCACGACCTGGTGCCAGATCTACTGCGCCAATTTTGAGCTCATTAAAAATATTCAACTGAAATATTCCGCCGGAAGCCGTGTGTATGTGTGTGTGTTCGTTCACCCCCAACGGAGCACGTCTGCCGTTTGTGCTTATTTGTTGGCATAAACATTGTCTTTCGGAAGTTGAGCACCATTTGGTTTTTGGTTGGGGAAAAAAATATGTATATAAACCCATCCAGCATAGACTAAAAGTCGCTACATTGAAATCCTCCCTCCGCTTTAGATTAATTTACAGGAATAAACACTTTTTGCAGTCACTGTCAGCCGCCGCTTGTGCTGGCATGTTTCGCATTTTAGTTTTCCACATTTGCTAAAATTAAACTGCAGAATCACACACGGATATATTTAATTAGATGACATACCTCTATTATGTTTTATTCAGGGCTGCATGGCGTGGATACCCGCCAAGCCCACAGGCCCCCGGAGTTTTTGCAACATGATTTGTGTTCGAGTCACATCCGCACAGGTGAAAATTAAGCTGCCGCATTTAAATGTGCATGCTGGGCAAGCCGAGGGGTCATTGACTAAGTCGGGATGCCTTTTAGAACATCATTATTATTTGAGGTATATTACCCCTCAATGAACGCTACTTTTGGGGAAATTTATCCGTCTTACTTACCAATAAGAAAAGTAAATCCTACCTAGAACCGATAATAATAACATAGAACTTGTCTTATAAAGTAATATTAATATTACCTACTAAAGTCAAATCAAAGTTCATAGCATTTGTCAAAATAAATTGAAATCTGTTCTTTCAACCAGATTTTTTCACGCCTTTACTGTGACCTTTTACTTGCCAATCCACAGCTTAACCCTGATAAAATGGCAGAAACCAATCAGTTTAGAGGCCGCCAGCTTTGTGGCTCCTTTTGCTGGGACTGCAATTTAAATAATGCATCAAATGAATTAAGTTGCCAGCCAAATGAAGACGGCAGCACTTTCCGGGACCCTGGCATTGAAGGTAAATGGAGCAAATCCTTCAGCAGCTGCAATAAAAATAGAATCAAGTTAACAAAGGAGTGAAATGAAGCGCAGACAAAAGCCAGCCCACTAAGATGGCGACTGATTGTGAGTTTTATGTCACAAAAGTGAACAAAGCTCGGCAATGGCAATAGTTCTCAGAAATATTTTTATAGAAAAGTAAGCGGACCGAACTGTAGAGGGGCACGTTAGTCTGTCCCCAAATGAAACCAGACCGTGTGTGTGTGTGTGTCATTGATATATGGTTCGATCCGTCGATACAGGAAACAAGCAGACACACAGGATGGCAATAAAAGCGGTAATGATGCGGCACGCGGGCGCACAGTCACATGAGCCGCCGGATATGAGTCTGTGCTTAAGAGCTGCCAGCCCATCGATAGTACGCCTTTAGCAGTAGTGGACCGTTGTTAAAAAAACATTGAAACTATACATGGTTTTTTGAAAATTTGTTGCATGTATACAACTTTAACAAAACATTTTAAATACTCATCATATTTTAGTTTCGGCTAAACCCAAATAGTAATTTTATTTAAAAAATATGTTATCTGAAAACAATAATATGCTTGTGAGGAGTCTTATTTTTTAAATTAGTCCCTATACTATTGGGTGCCATTTACGTTATATATTTTTCCCTGAAGGATAGTTTGTTTTTCTTAATTTCCAGCTAGTGCTGATAATTTGTCTTTCAACTTGTTAGGTTAAGCATATATAGTAACTTTATTAACAAATATTAATAAAAAATAGTGAACTCAAATAATATAATATCTATAATCCTTGGCAAATAACTTAATTAATTAATTATTATATTCAGGTATAGAAATAATCATTTTTATTAGTTATTAAATTTACCTTTTCAAGATGCAAAATGTGTACTTAACAAGATTTACCCTAAAGAAATATTAAATTCGCAGCACTGTTTCGAACAACATATCTGCAATGTGAAATTTTAATATACTCAAGGGTGGTTTTTCATATAGACCTACAATCGTGGACATAAGTATTTTGACACAGATTATGGCTATATTCCAGCGCGTGTCTCTTTGTACTCGTACAAGTTACGGGATCCATTTCACTTTCCAGTAAGAGATTCTATTTAAAACTTTAAAAGAGCAAAAGATGACATTGATAAGTAAATTAACTTCTTTGCTATGTCCCGTGATGTGAGAGATCATGCATTTTTGGGTGGACAAAAATATTTTGACATTGCATTCAATTAGCTCTCATTTGTTTCGTGCGCATAAAATACAGTTTATTATTATTTATAACTCCAGCTCATACATTTTTTAGCAGCTTTAATATATTTTTTGTAAATTTTCCTAATTTCTGTACCGTTATTTAATGAAAATATGGGTAAACCACGGCAGCTAAGCCAAATCCAGCAAAACAAAATAGTAATTAAGTACCACCTAGGTATTTCGGTCCAAAACCTCAGCATATTTTATAAAATACCCCGTCAAACCATTTACTACCAAATTAACAAACATAAACTGACAATTTCGACGGATAATTTAGTCAGAAAAGGGCGACCACGCAAGACTACGCCTAGACAAGGTCGTCTAATCCTTTCCAAATTTAAAGATAATGTCCTTATTATACCAAAAGCAGCTTCAATGGATGTTCAAAACGATTATGATATTTTAATTAATAGAAAAACAGTTGAAATATTATTTAAAGAGGCTAACTTTGCTACTTTGTGGCCCGTCAGATACCTTTCATTTCACCTAAAAATGAGTTGAAACGATTAGCCGATTAGGCCGCACTTTCTTGCGAATATTTTTTGGTAATCTGCAGTAAATTTCTTTGTTTTAACCATTGTACTCAAAAGGACTCTCATCGGTCCACAAAATTTGTTCCCAAAACGATTGAGGCTTATTCAACTTTCAACTTATTTTTAGGTGAAATGAAAGGTATCTGACGGGCCACAAAGTAGCAAAGTTAGCCTCTTTAAATAATATTTCAACTGTTTTTCTATTAATTAAAATATCATAATCGTTTTGAACATCCATTGAAGCTGCTTTTGGTATAATAAGGACATTATCTTTAAATTTGGAAAGGATTAGACGACCTTGTCTAGGCGTAGTCTTGCGTGGTCGCCCTTTTCTGACTAAATTATCCGTCGAAATTGTCAGTTTATGTTTGTTAATTTGGTAGTAAATGGTTTGACGGGGTATTTTATAAAATATGCTGAGGTTTTGGACCGAAATACCTAGGTGGTACTTAATTACTATTTTGTTTTGCTGGATTTGGCTTAGCTGCCGTGGTTTACCCATATTTTCATTAAATAACGGTACAGAAATTAGGAAAATTTACAAAAAATATATTAAAGCTGCTAAAAAATGTATGAGCTGGAGTTATAAATAATAATAAACTGTATTTTATGCGCACGAAACAAATGAGAGCTAATTGAATGCAATGTCAAAATATTTTTGACCACCCAAAAATGCATAATCTCTCACATCACGGGACATAGCAAAGAAGTTAATTTACTTATCAATGTCATCTTTTGCTCTTTTAAAGTTTTAAATAGAATCTCTTACTGGAAAGTGAAATGGATCCCGTAACTTGTACGAGTACAAAGAGACACGCGCTGGAATATAGCCATAATCTGTGTCAAAATACTTATGTCCACGATTGTACATAAAGTATACATATACTAATCATAAGAAGTTGTACACTAAACTTATTGTTTAACATAAAAATTTATTTATTAAATATAAAAAAATACTTTATAAGCAGAAATATTGAAGGGCTTTTAAAGACAACTATTTATGAGTAAGTTAGTAATTTAAGCTCAATATTAGCTCCATGCTGCTTAGCATAGTTTTATTACACCTAACACATATAATTTTTAGTAAGCATTTCTGTTGGAAAGTGTATGTATTAAGGGTTTTTTTTCTTTTAAGTATAAATTGAAGTTTTGGGACCCATTAAATTCTTAATTACTTTTATTATTTTAAGCCTCGAATTTAACCCTGATTTTACCCAGTAAATGTGTTCAGTTTCAATCAAAAATTCGTCGCGATTGCATGTACAATGGGATCTAAGTGGCCTATATTCTGTACTATATGGATTTTAATCAATTCGAGTTTGAGTACCGGCGAATTCAAAAGGAAAAAGCTTTTGGAAAACATTGCAGAGAACTATTGTGAAGCATATTGTGGCGGAATTTGTAATGATGAAATATACGATAAAACCTGCAACGATGAGGATAGAAATTTTATTGCAACCAACGAGTATCAATTGAAATTTAATGATGGCGAATTGGAAATTCTATGGAACAATCCACATTTCAATGGCTGCAATCTCACTCCAATTACCCAAGAAAAACACGCAAAATTAAATGTACTTATAGTAACTAAATCTCGTCGTGACTGTCGAGGTGGGGACTATCTTCGCCAACTTGGCGTGGAAACGGCGAACCGCTTTGAACTACACTTGGATGTTTTTAGAGCCTTCGAAAGACGAGTCCATTACATGAATGGACCACAATCCGTGACTTTCTTTTTCCAAGGAAGCGTGAAGTTTAATAAAATACACGATTACATCAATGTGCCCATGAACAATCTAGAGGAAATTATTGTAAACTGTGACAGTGAGTCTGAGAGCCAAGCTGTTGAGTTTGACGCGAATATTTTTAAAGGGAAACCCCATTTGAAAAGTATTGCATTTGGTGGATTTAACATTGCTACTCTAGGAAATGATGTTTTTTCACCCCTTGCCAGTCTAAAAAAGTTGGGATTCTCGAAGGTTACAATTAATAATCTCTCTCTAATGAGGTTGGTATGATTACCATATAAAATTACTTTTATAATACTTTCTTCCACAGTCTTAACCCACTTCAAAACAGTCTTGAGCAGTTGGTTTTGGACATTCCCCAGGAGGTGGACTTGCAGCACTTTCGGACTTTTCCCCAACTTAAATTGATAAAAGTAAGAAACTATATTCCTTACGATAACTTGACAGCCTTGCTGTGCACTCCAACTGAATGCATATTTAAGCGAGGAAGCAATGGCATAGCGTGTCCTGATGTATGTGATTGCCAATACAATTACGATTATATGGAATTGGAAATTAATTGCTCCAACAGGGGACTTACACAGATTCCTCCACTACCGATTCCTATTATCGGAGACTCCAAGCTAATATTTCAAAACAACAGTCTGGCAGAGTTGCCCGATTTCTCTTCGGCGGGATATAGTAATTTGAGAAGACTGGACGTGGCCAGAAACCAATTAAGCAATCTGAGCATAAGGCACCTACCAAGAAAATTAGACTATCTTGACATTAGCTTCAACGATGTGAAGCAAATAAATTCACACTTAGTCGAATATATCAGAAATGTAAGCATCTTCAAGCAGACTGGCAATCAATGGCTGGTTTATTGCGATGATGATCTATTACTGCACCTTTTTCGAGATCTCAAGAAATCAATGCGAATGAAAGCCAAAAAACTTCGACCGATATTTAAGCAGTTGTCATCACAATCCCCTGAGGGATTCCTCAAGTTTTTGGGTCAGCATTTCCTAAAACTTGGATCTACAAGGAGAGGATATTTTATGATAGACGAGGAGAAGCTAGGTCGGAGTATGCTTCTAAAGCTAGATGATTTAGGTAAACAAATGTATATCCGTGAGTCTATGGAGTGGCTGCATCGCAGTTTGTCTTCTGTAAATGAAGAATACGAGACATTTTACCACTATCATATGTGTGGTGTCTGCCCGTACAAATGTGAATGCTGCCAGTACCGGAATAAACCAAAGCTCAAAGTCGACTGCAGGAATAAATTTATTATTAGCTTTCCAAGTATAAATCCTCATCAACATTTAGTGGGTCAAAAAGAGAACATAACTGACTACATTGAGCTGCATTTAGCGAACAATAATATATCCAAAATTACCACTGAAATGCTTCCCAAAAACTTGAGTTACTTGGATCTGAGTAACAACAATTTGGAGTCACTCGATAACAGCGTAGTGCGATTCCTACGAAAGCTCAGAGCCTCCGCTGAGATTAAACTCTCGGGTAATCCCTGGACGTGCCACTGTGAATCCCGGTCACTACTCTCCTTTCTGAGGGATGAAGATCCAAAGGAGTACACTCTCATCCTGAATCGTTGCAATATCTCCCAAGACAATTGCCCTGACTCCTGCGTCTGCTGTTTAGATAAGGCCACCTGGCCCTCCTTCATAGTGGATTGCGCGGGCGAAGGCCTCGTCAAAGTCCCAAAAATATCCCGTAACGTAGGCTACCTGGACTTAAGGAACAACAATATAAGCGAACTGAGCCCAACGGAAAATATTTTGCTTGCGAACAGATCACAGGCTTCTCCACTGAAGATTTACATGTCCGGAAACCCCTGGTCCTGCACTTGTCAGGATGTGGAATATCTCAATGCGATTAAGTCCATCTCTTCCAGTATTGCAGACTTTACTGAGATGACCTGTTCCAGTGGCGAAAAGCTTCTTTCGATCGAGCAGGAGAACATCTGCTCCTCTGGACTTGCCTACTACATTGCCTTGGCCGCCACCTTGGCCGCCGTGCTAATGGTTACCAACTTCCTGGTATGTTTCCGGCAGCCGCTCCTGATATGGCTCTACGAGCACGACCTCTTCCTGAGTCTGGCCACCCGCATGGAGCTCGACCAAGACAAGCGGTACGACGCCTTCCTGGCCTTCACCCACAAGGACGAGGATCTGGTGGGGGAGTTCGTGGAGCGCCTGGAGAAGGGCAGACAGCCGTTTCGGCTCTGCTTCTACCTGCGCGACTGGCTGGCCGGTGAGTGCATTCCCGACTGCATCAGCCGCTCCGTCCGCGACTCGCGGCGCATCATCATCCTGATGACGGCCAACTTTCTCAAGTCCACCTGGGGTCGCCTCGAGTTCCGTCTGGCCCTGCACGCCACCTCTAAGGACCGCTGCAAGCGCCTGATCGTCGTCGTCTATCCGGATGTGACCAGCTTTGATGACTTGGACAGCGAGCTGCGGGCCTATATGGTGTTCAACACCTATCTGGAGCGAAGCCACCCTAACTTCTGGAACAAGCTGATCTACTCGATGCCCCATGTCAAGATGCAGTAGCCTTGAGAATGATTTAATAAAACATTTATTGTTTATAGATTTCATACATACTGAAAATTAAAAAATAGTTAACAAAAACTTATGATACCTCTAATTACATTCATTCAAATTTATTTTAACCAGAGCTTAATAGTTTAAGATTATTAAAACATTTAACTGACATAAATATATGTATACTTTTTATGGTTAATTTCTCTTGTTATAAAATCACAGATATTCGCCAGAATAAATCGATGTTTCCAAAAGGTTTTAAAAACATCGATCCATCGATGTTTCCATCAAAGTTTCTCCATATATAGTAAACTTGCTTTAAGTTGACAAGTTATCGATATTTACTGACAGCTCGTCCCTGCCGCACCAAACAATTTTACAAGTCATTGAAAGCAAAAAGCCGAAATGTCTCAAAAAGATTCTGCAAATGATTTTGATTATTTCTCTGAACCGGAAGATGTTTTGCCCTGGAAAGCCATTGACCAAGGATCCTCTGAAAGACACCTGATGATGTACCCCAAGAAAGGCGTCTCCCTTAAGCGAAAAAGGAGCTCAGATCCGAAGAAGTCTCCCAAGATTAAGACCGGAAACAGACGCAGGCTCAAGTACCAAGCCGATGGTGTTGACGACATAGAGCTTTGTGCGAAGCGAATGAAGTGCATGTCCCTGCAGAACGTGAAAACCCCAAAGAAGAAGCAAGTCAATCCCGATGCCGGCTATGAAGGAGACAGTGAAACTGAGGCCTAACTAGGAGTTTCTTAACAATAAATTGGGTTGTCTGGAATAAAAATTGTTTTTTAGACTCGGTACTAGGGCACTGAGAACCAAGAGTAGAGCCTAGCAATAGTGAATTCGGTGTTGAACCCCCCCCAATTGTTACATTAAATCTGCGAATTTTTCCCCTTGAAAGAGCACTTTATTTTCTATTTTTACATGGTGGCTTCAAGAGTATAAATGTTTTCCGGTTCTCCGTCGCAAGGTCATCTCTCATATCGGTCCACTTTGGCTGGTCAACAGCTAGGGCCACAGCAAGGGCCACACGGACCACAGCAAGGACCACACGGACCACAACAAGGACCACACGGCCCACAGCCGCCGCAAGGACCGCAGCCTCCGCAGCAGGAGCCCTGAAAAAAAAGGAGTTATCATTCAGTAACCAAAGGATATGTTATGTTTGATTTTGTACTTACGCTGACCAAGACGTAATCGGGATTCACGTACATGTACATGGTTGAATGTATTTGTTCAAGCTGCGTGCCGAGAGAAACCCGAAGAAAAATATAAAGAAATGAAACCGCCAGAAAATTTTGGAACTTGTCGTGATAGATGATATAGGGGAACTGAGGAAAGTCCGTCGAACGGTTCGACTCTACTTTTGACAGTCGTTATTCGGCATTGCCGGGCTAACTTGATCCCAAAAGAATAAAGTTCTTTTGCATTTTAGAATTGAAAAATCAATGAATCAAGTTGGCCATGGATTTCGACCGCAGGTTGTCAAAAGCAACCCACATGCGAGCCTAGCATTTTCATCATTCCTGTATAACGTTTCGGCCTGTAACCATCTAAATTCCTCTGTTGTCTCGAGTTATTACCTTGTTTGGTTCAAAGTATGTAAAGCTATTATACAAGTGAAAAGTTTGAAAGTGCATAACCGTATTTGTATTTCTAGAAGCTATAGAATCATGTGTTGCGGACCTCTCGGATTCTGTGGACCCTGCAGCCCCTGCGGCGGATGTTGCGGCCCCTGTGGACCCTGTGGGCCTTGTGGTTCTTGCTGCGCACCTTGCTGTGGACCCTGTGGGCCTTGCTGTGGACCCTGTGGGCCTTGCTGTGGACCATGCGGCTCTTGCTGCGGCGGCTGCTGGTGCTAATTGGTGTCTGCACCACATGACTCATCCAACACCTGTTATGGCATAACCGAAAATAATAATTTTGAGACCTTTTAAAAAAAGTTTACTGGGGGATACATTTTGTAGAATGGGGTACGGTGAGGGTGCTGCAGCACCAAGGTTGTTGAAGGACAGGGATCTGGTAGAAAGGTCTTGGTGGTAGCCTGCAACTGCTTTGGATGCGGATGTCTCATTGGCAACTAAACCCTGGATATTTTAGCCAAAAAAAATAAACTGGAATATAGTTTTCCACAAACTCTTGTACTCTTTAAACTAAAATGAGATTCTTGGCAAGCCTTCGTCTATCTTTGTTACCGCCTCTCTTAAATTCCGTTTTAAAAATGTACATGAAGTGGAATAATTCTCCAGAACTTTATTATAGCAAATTGCTTTTAAATGCTAACGTAAAATACTTTTAAATATAAAACCTATGACAATCTTAGCACCTTTTAAAGTCATAGACGTATAAGTCCCAATCAAGTAATCCTTGGAAATCGTAGTGTCAAACTCAATGTGCTACAAACGACTCCCATATTATCATTCTCATTTGAAGATTTGTAGCATAAACATCTAAATTCGTTGTTTTGTCTCGATTTGTTATTTGTCCGGTTCAAGTAAGTGAAAAAACGTCATATTTTTTTAATAAAAATTAAAATCCTTTTGTTTTAGTCTCAACAAGAAATCATCATGTGTTGTGGACCTTGTGGACCGTGCTATGGACCCTGCGGCAGTCGCTGCTGTGGTCCTTGTGGACCGTGCTTCGTACCTTGCAATCCCTGCTGTTCACCTTGCTGCACTCCCTGCTGCTCACCTTGCTGCAGTCCCTGCTGCAGTCCTTGCTGTGGTGGCGGCTGCTGGTGCTAATGAAGCCCGGAGCTTGGAATTAAACGCCCTAACGAAGTCCATTCCACTCAAGACATGACCAATCACCATTCCTAGACTGAACCGCAAATAATAATTCAAGGCATTACAACAGTAAAAAATGAAACTATTGGTATTTTTTTATTGTTGAGGGGGGGGTAAAGGTGTTCTAGACCAAGGAAAAATCAGCATAGTTGTTGCTGAGGAGATCGCCTTGCCATTGCACTACTGGATAAGCATTCAGCAGAGCTTATCACCAAAAGCAAAAATTATATCTGTAGGTTGGGTCTGTTTTTCAACTCGCACTGCCCAGCGCTCAATTAACTTCTCTTCGAAGCTGTGACTGCCACGGGCTAGTACTTTGGAGGAAACATAAGTTCCGTAAGATTATTGGTATTAGAATCTCTAAACGATAAGTTGATACACTTTATGGCATAGTAGAATTATACAATTGTATAATTCTACTATGCTTTATGGTATGGATGGATGGATGGTTGTAATATTTATATCTAGAAGGCCGAGAACTCGATTTCGTATTTTTACAGGCCCATTCCGTTAAGGGGGATTCATTATTCAACATCTTTCCGGCCCGAGAACATCTACATTTTTACTCTAGTTTAAAGGCATATTTCGTCAAAATTCTTTTGTAGCCTTTTGCTTTTTTTGAGTTCAGTGTAAGTATATAAGAAATCTTTAAACATATTTTATTAAGCGATTTCTACAGAACTTTACGGATATGGGCTGTACACCTGGCGGACCCTGCTGCGGACCCTGCTGCGGACCCTGCTGCGGACCTTGCTGCGGACCTTGCTGCGGACCTTGCTGCGGACCTTGCTGCGGACCCTACTGCGGACCCTGCTGCTGGCCTTGTGGTGGGTGTGGACCCTGCTCGCCCAGCTGTGGACCCATGGAAAAACGTAACGGTCTCCAAAACTGCAATCTATAATGTTGCGCACTGCAGTGCGTTAAACAGCATAGCCTAAAACTAGAGTAAAAATAAAGGCCGGAAATTATGAGAAGTCGATTTTCGTATTGTTATCCTTAGAAGGGATAAAAGCAGTTGGTATCTAGATTGTAGACATTCTTATGAGGTCTTGAGAAAAGTGAAGAAAATATTTTTAAATGCCCCTGGACTCCAAGGCTTGGAGAATACTAAGCATTAAAAGTGTATCAATGTAGCATTGCATTACAGGTCTGAGTCCGTAGATCTCGTTTTAGGAAAATGAGCTACTTTTCATCAGCATTTCGGACCGAACACATCAAAATTTTTTGTAGCCTAGAGCATTATCCTTTTTTGGATTAAGTGTAAGTATATATAATAAATCTATGAATATATATTTAATTAAAATAAAATATATTATTTTTGAAGATCTTTACGGATATGGGCTGTACACCTGGCGGACCTTGCTATGGACCCTGCTGCGGACCCTCCTACTGGCCTTGTGGTGGGTGTAGACCCTGCTCGCCCAGCTGTGGACCCATGGAAAAACGCAACGGCCTTCAAAAATGCACAGCGAACCTTTGTGGAGGGAGTGGACATTCCAAGCCCGGCAATGGATCCACGGGAAAACGCAATGGGCTTCAAGCATGCAATCTATAACATTTCGCTAGTGGAGGCTTTTGCTGTTAATTCCATTTTAAACATTCGTCGCCCATTGAACCGTAAATTTCCACTAAGTGAGGATTTTATAAAGGCAATTCTAGAGTTGAGATTTGGACCATTAATAAAATGCAGGGACTGTAAATAAAGTTTCTGGTTTATTTTGTTGCTAATAACAGACCTCAAATGGGTCGAAAATGTTGAGGTATTTTTAATATAATGAATAACATTTTCTAATTTAATTTCCGCAATACAGAACTTGTTCATTAAAGTGCTTCTTCAATTGCATAATTTAACTGAATATTTAACTTTGCTTCGGTGAACAACGATTGGTCTTTGGATGACGACACACGTTATACCCTACACTATAAAGTAGAATGTATTAACCAGTTCTCCCATCTCCCAACTAATTTTGGTCCAAATATATTTCTCGTTTTTTGTCCGGTGTGTACACTTATGTTGTTATGCAGTTGCCAGGCTAATGGGAAAATGGCAAAGGAATCCAGAAAAACAGCAAAGTCCAGGGGAATGCCAAGCCAGCAAGGACAATGGACCAGGTTAAGTCCGCTGCTTGTGGCTAGCATCAAGCCCACACACATGCTGGGCCGAGGGCCATTACCATGGGGACACAGAGAGTCACAAAATAGGAGACGGAGCATTTAATTTATGCCAACATGCTCCAGGTAATTGAGGCAATGGCAATGCAGCTATGGAATAAAAGTAGTCCTGGCCACGCAGCATTTAAATTAGCCAACTAGGGGATTTTAATTAGTGTCAAGTGCTTCGAAATAAATGGTGGGGCAGGGACGCAACTTTGCTGTGGCCAATCAAAGCTGATTGCTAGAAACGTTACTCATACGCCCCGTGTGGCACAGCAAAGTCAATTATTAATGGCAGCCCGGCTCGAGTGCAGACTGCTGACATTTCAATTCAAGCTGGAAATCAGGCAGGCAAATTGTTTATTGTGCGCAAGCAATAGAATGCTAGCGGAATGTCTGGGGAACTGATTTTCATCATTCATTTTGCCAGTCGACTTTTCCGCTTTCCACGCTGAATTATGAGGGCCCTGCACGTGTGTGTGAGCTCTCGATGACGCAGTTCGGGGAATTCAGAGATGTGGCAGGAATGAAGGGGTAAAAGGAGCCGAGCTCCGGGTGGCATGCAAATGGATACATCCTTCCTGCAATTCGAGTAGCGGCAACAACACTAACATTCGGCAGGGGTCTAGCTAGAGTCGCCCCCTGAAAGGATGCAGCCCGAAGGGCTGTATAAGAGAAAGTAATTCTAGAACGCGCATATGCCGCCACTGTTAACTCAAGTCTTTGGGTAGGTTCAAATACAAATTAAATAAATAATTTATACCTTGAAGAATCCCCCCAAAGCATTGGCTTTCCCAAAATGTGTGTCAGTCCCAGTCGGCTTTTGGTGGGAAGTCGCACCGGACCCTTCCAAAATTACTCGTTTTTGGGTCTTTCAAGGACCACAGACCTCAACCTCGACCGCCAGCCATGTCTGTGGAAATCGGCGGCAGCGATGGGGCCCGGTCTGGGACTAGGAGCAGCCGTAGTTCCTCCTCGGTGGCGGAGACCATGCAGATCGGTGACGGACCGCAACTACGGCGCCAGCGCCCGAGCCGCCCGAACCCACCGTACCGGGTCAGCAACCGGTTGCTTACTGCCGTGGAGCAGCGACTCCGGACCAGTTCACTACGCCGTGCCGCCTTGTTGCGTAAGCTGAGGCTACAGCGGAGCCTGGAATTTTACAGTGGACTGAGAGGCAGCCAGGCAGGTCCTGCTTCCGTGTTCGGTTACCATCCCGCCGCGAACATCGACCATCCGGTCTTTGGGAATTGGTATGGCTTGGGAATGCTGGCCAGTCATGACGGCGATGAGGAGGAGCTGGGTAGCCACCACTGGGAGCCAGCTATGCTCCACTTCCAGCAGTACCTGGGACAGAGGCAACCCTGCCACCACTCATCCAGGTCCTTTTTACTCAGCCTGGACCGAAGACACCTGAAGCTGGTTGGCGATCTGCTATACGGATGGGGTCTGAAGGAGGCCTTGCGACTGGGACTTAACGAGGTATTTTCTTTGTTCCACTCTTAGGCCACGCGGGTCGATAATAAAATTATAAGTCGTTTTCATGGGTCTTCCCAAACGAGAGATTCATGCATATGCAGGGCGCTATCATGTGACCCAGTGGGAAAACCTCTTCCAAAGAGCTCCCACTGCCGCGGGTTACTTTCCTTGTCCAAGATCTTTTGCCGGGCTATTCGCCGTTGTTGTGCATTTATGGAAATCGCATGCCGCTGTGCATGCACCAGCACAATGTGTTTGGGGGTAAGTGCTTCGGCGGGGAAGCTGCAAGTTCGCAACAAAGAGTAACTGACGTGTGGTCAAACGAATTTTAAATGCACTTTCGTTATAAGGTTTTACATGCTCTAGTAAGTAAATGATGGGAAATTGACTGTATGCCACCACCAAGACAAGTGCAGCAGGATGTTAAAGATCAATGTCGCTTTCTATTTCCATAAAACATTCGTTAAACCTGACTCGAAGGACCTAACTTTCTGTGGGACAGTGGCTGTCAAAAGTTCTGCTAGGATGGTAAAGAACAGTAATAATAAACATAATATATTATAGATTTTTTTCAAGAAAGGGTATTTAACATTCTAGGCCTTCCTGCCCCCAGATACTCGCATATGCCGCAAGTTTTACACAACGCTGCCGAAATAAAAAGCGATGAACAGAGCGCCCAACACGCGTGCATCTGGATTCCGCACACACTCACCACACAGCCGCACACACACTCGCCACCCAAACACGCATTCACCACACCCACACACAAACAAACACATGCACAGAAGACGCGCTACGTTCATTTTGCGCCTTATCTGCGGTCGCAAGTGTTGCGCCATCGCAGCCCGAGTGCCTGAAATTATGCTAATTTCTGGGTTTTTATGCAGCCAACATGGAGCAGCAGCAGGAATCTGCATCCCCATGGCCGAATCTCCTCCAGCTCCGCGGGCTCCTCCAGCTGCTGCGTGTTGGATGTCGGTCGGCGTTGGTTGTTCCTTGTTGGCTCTTGCTGCTCCGGCTGTGCATTTTGTGGCATAAACACTGGGAGAAAAATCTAACCAGGAGATGTGGAAAGGGCTTCGAAAGAATATATAATAGTAAAAGTTTCTTTTGAAATAATACAAAAATTATAAACAACGGATAACTCGTATCTCTGGACAAAGGTAAAAATGTTATCCACTTTTGTTTCATTTTTCTTGGCTTTTATTTTTCAGAGTGCCAAGCCTCAGCGATGGATTCTAGGTTGTAAAAGGGGGTTGGTTGGCCTGCTGATAACGCAGCATTAATAACACCCTCATGGCCGGCTCGCTCTTACTTGATGATTGAAAATCCAGCAAACTGCTCCCGCGCCCCAAAGTATGCACCACTCATTTACTTATCAGGCCCGGGAGCTGTAGCTGTAGCCCCAACGAAGCGAAGTCCACACGAGAATTTGTGGCACATTTGGGAGCTAAGCAGCGGGCAAAAAGTGTTACAGAAAAAGAGTCAAGCAGCTGCTGCTGCCGTTTCCATTGCCATTGCCACTGCCGCTGGTCTCCGGACTCTGGTCTCCTTTCTCCGGTCTTGTTGTGGCCAGTGTTAACATAAAACTTGTGCAGCGATAAACCCTGGGTCCGCCCAGGACATTGTCCAGCCGAACATTTGTTAGCCAGCCCTTAGCTGCTGCTCCTGGGCCGTTTTTGGACCCTGTTCTGACTGCATATTCAGCCTCTTTTCCTTGGCCATTTCGCTTTGGTCGACGGGCATTTGAAAATTCAACATTCCTGTTAGGCTTTGGCTCTCTCTAGTGGCTACTTACAGACTCCTCCTGTCTGTATTCGCTGCATCTTGTACAGGGTAATTGGTGGGTGGATAAGTGCCATATACTTAGGGAAGCGGCAAAAAACGGTACCACTTATCCTGTAGATAACCTAGAAGCCTTCAATATTTTGCTTGAGAGCTGAACTTACTTAAAAGTTGCTAATTTCTGATATTAATAACTCCCTGGGACCGAATCAATAAGTATTTCTTTGCTCTCTTGAAACAAAAATAGAAATCCAAGAGTTGTTGTTCAATTCCTCAAAAAAATTCATTGAATGATTTGCCCAAAGTCAGGCAATACATGCTCTTCTGCCTCAGCAAAAAACTTTCTTTTCCACCGAATCATAATAATGCTTGAAAGAGTTAAAAATACTTTTCAGTAGCCTTATCACCGGCCACCAGGGTAATGGGTTAATGAATTCCAGCCGTAATTAACCGGCAAAGGGGAGTGATTACCCCCAAAGAGGGCCGGCTCAGACTGAATGTTATGACCGCCGGCCAAGGGATCCTTTTAATTATTGTTTATAACAGCCGGATGCAACTTTATCTTGTTTATTTTATGCATATTTTTTCCGCCCGCCATTTAAATATTCCGACTGCGGTAAAGTTTCGATTGTGTTTGCAGTTTTTCCGCTGAATATTTATCCAATTGATATTGCCCGGCAATTGGTCTTTGTTTTCTTTATTTTCATTTGTTTTTCGGGTCCATTTCGATTGCATATTTAATTGAATGATTCCTTTTTGGCCCTTGAACACAATTAAGTCAATTGTGAAGAGTCGTCTGTAGGGGAATCTTGAATTTAGAATATAAACCTCTTAAGTTTTCGAAATTAACAAGAACCACGGAATAATTTATTAAGGAACATACTACCCCTCGAGCAACAAAATCTACTACGTTTTAAGTAAAATCTTCATTTATATAGTCATTTATTTTTATAAACTCTTTGCTAAATCAACCAAGGAGAAACAAGTATATCGAATCGTTAAATTTCTGTTTGACTTTTTCACAAAGAGTCGATTCAATGCCTAAAGTTGATAACCTTTGAGGGTAACCCGACTGCCTTTGGCCGATTTCAATGCGTCAACGTCTATGTCTGCTTCGCTTGTCATGCATTTTACGCATGAGAAAGTATTTTCAGTTAACAAGTGCGAGTGGTGCGATGGTCCTGGCAGCGTAAAAAGTATCCCCAATGCAGGAGTGCACGAGGAGATTCCCATAAAAATAAATCGAAATGGAAGGAAGGGACTCGAAGAGGGAGCGGGAGTGCTGGGATAACAAACGGCGGTGCTCCTTGCCAACGGGGAACGGAGAGGGAATGGGTTTGTTTATGGCGCGATATGAATGACACGTGACTGGGAGACACCAGACAAGCGGCAGCAGCAGCAGCAGAAGCCGCGCCAGACGCTCGCAAAAATTATGAAATTTAGCGCAAGCCACAGAGCTAGAGTTGCTGGAGGGAAAAAAAGGCGCACACTGGGCTCTCACGCACACTGCGGCACATCCGGCTCACATGACAGCTCTGCCATATCGCACCTGCTGCACCCACACTCACACAGCCGACAGGTGGAGAAGCTGGTAAGCAAAAACCGACGGCCAATGCGCTTAGCACTTTCATTTCGTTTGCTGCAAATTGCTTAACCACAATGCATATGTATGCAAAGCGCTGACTCTCACACTGCCAAGTGCAGAGGGAGAAAAAAAGGTCAACTTGACTTGAGTTTAATGGTGTTTTAGGGTGTAAAATGGCCTTGTTATGTTACTTAATTATTATTATATTTATATTCATTATCTGCAAATTATGAAACAAAATAATAAACCACTGTAAATGCAGTCCAAAGTCTTCTGAAATTTTTGTTGTGTAAGGGCATATGATGGCATTAGTAACGTGAGCCCAGTGTGGTTTTCTCCTTGGGCCACCGTTGCAAGGTGTCGCTGGCAGCTGCTCGGCTCAATCTAGCTGCTAACGGTTTAACGCTCTGCTGCCCTTTTTCCAAGGCTTTTCCACCTCGAAAAGAGGTGTAAGCCTTAGGCACTCATTTGCGGTTGCTAGGCAGGCAGACAGACAGATGGGAATCGTGTGGCAGAAGAATAACAAAACCAAACAATGTTGTGACAAAAAAATTAAATTAAATTCGGTGTAATTAGTTAAAGCTTCAGCTGGCTGGGTTTGAGCTTCAAAGTCGGCGATATATTCTCGCATTTCCATCAAATAATTGGTTTTGATTTATTCACAGTCCCAATTCTATTTTAAACGCAAAATGTTATTTATTTCCTTTTCGTCCTTGCTTCAAAGTAGGCAACAATTCGTAAGGAAATCCCCGTTATAAGCTGAGATGTGGGCGTGCATGTGTGGGTGTGCTTAATACGCATTACCGTAGGTGTCTATAGGCTGATTATGACAGTGTTTCCATTTCCCATCCGGATTCCGGATCCTTTATGCTGAAAATGTGTAAGGAAAAGAAAACACACTCGATTTTCTTTCGCCAGAGAGAGCTTAAAGCTGAATGAATCAAGTCCTAAGCCCAACAGATATTTGAATAGAATTGAAACAGAATTCTTTGCCAATAAATTCGCAATCTATTTTTTGGGTAAGGACCCTCACCTATCCCCTTGAAGTGAACGCTTGAAAATTTTTGGTATTTAAGAGGCTGCATTTTATTTATTTTACTTTATTTTTCACTTTCCCGAACAGCCATAATAAGTGCACAACAAATTCTTGGCAATCAATTACAAAAGTTGCTGCCGAGTTTAGTTTCTTGAAACTTTCTTGTTGCCGACTCTTGCACCGTTTAATAGCCACGCTTGACAAATCGTTCTAATCGTTCTTGATTATTATTTGGTCAGTTTGTGAGTAAACTTGTCATTAGCTTTATGGCTGTGAGCTTAAAGGTCTAATCTAATCTCTATGCAAGGGGAAATAAAAAGTTTAAAAAGACCTTGTTATATATTTCTGTATTTATTTTAGTGGTTTCTTAGGAAAAATATATTTCTGCCGCGAATTTAATTACTATTCTGAATCACTTAGCTAGAAATTATTGCTTTGTTTGCTTAGATTATACGGAATCCTATGCTTATTATAACATACTATGTATTTAGAATAGTTACAATTTACTATTCATTAATTATAGATATAATAATAGTTATATGAGCTAGTCTCCCGTTATGTAACGGAAGCGAACCTGACAAATGCAGGACGCCTAGGAACTCCACACAACCGCAGGCACTCGCTGGCTCCACTCAGCTTCCTGGCAACCGCCCACCACCCACCACCCTGCAACCACAATGCCACACTCACGCAAGCCACTCGCACTTCCTGTTTTTTGTTTCCGTGGGCCACAAAGTCAAACGTCGCATATTAAACAACATTTGGCTGTCAGAGTGGCGGATCGAAGCCGCAATGCCGCACTCCTGGCCAATAGATGGGTTGCCCCACCCAGTAACATGGCCAGGGCGCACCTCCTGGCGATTTCTCATTCATTGGGAAAGTGGGAAAACACAGAGAAAATATGTCAAGTGCCAAATGCCATTCTATAGCCTGAAATATTAAGATGACCATGATCTGTCCATGGAGCAAGTGTCAATTTGATTAATTGAGCAACATGCTCCCGCAGTTTTCAGCCAAGATGCTATCTGCTGAAAGAAGAGGGAAAACTTTTGCGAATATATCTGCAGAGCGGTGGCCTTGGCGAAGAATTCAATAAAAGCATTGCATAATTTAGCCCCTGCTCTCTCTTTGGGACAACTTTGTTCCACCCTTTTCGGATTGGCTAAGGCGGAAATGAATTTTTCCGCTTGACCCAATTCGTTTACATGTATAAATCCGTTGTTTGTTTAAGCTTTAAGCTTGCTATTATTTTTTTCATGTATCTCAATTGAACTTGAGAGGCAAAGTGACGAGATCATTTCTGCTGAAAGTGTCAAGTGGCCGATGAAAAGTGAAGTGGCCCAATGTACACAGGCAAATAGAGCTAAAGGTGAGTGGCTGTGGGTATTTAAAACGGTCTATTTATTTATGAAATGAGTTTTACAAAATAGCATTTCACGAGTCCAGTGCTGTGGTCATCTTTAAATCATACGTTTTTCAGCGGCAGCCGCTCATCTGGCTTGTTCCACAACTGATATATTGTCATTCATATGTTGTGTCAGCAATTTGTTAGCTTTATGGCTACTGCCACGCCCCCAGCTGTCGGCCCCAAGAGCACAGAGCTTCGGGAATGGGGCGGGTGATCGGGAAAAAAGTAATAGGAGCGGAAAAGGGAAAACCCAAAACTTGCGTACATAAATTGTATTTATGCACACTACCCTCTGCATTCTGTCATTTCCTGATTTCATCGTTTTTATGTGGCATGGCTTCGAAAAAAAGGGAAATGGTTAAGTGAATGCATGTAGAGATTGGGGACAAATAATATTTAAAGAGTAGATTCATATACATAGTTGTGGCTTCTATTTCATGAATACATCTCATAAGGGCAGAAGTACTTTAGATAACTTTTGGTATATATATATTTTGTATTAAATCGATTTATTCAAATTCCAAATTTCAGAATTCATATATCCCCGTCGCTCCATCAACTTTGAAAGTTGGAACTTTTATCGTTTCTGTAAACGCATGTTTGTGTCATTTTGCAGTTATTACCTTGATTACAGTTCAAGTTGTGTATTTTCTTGACTGAAGCAGAGGTTACTAAAAACTTACTTTTGTTGCAGTTCCTTAAAGTTTTTTACAACTTTGGCTATCTATAAATTTGATTATAAGTTGTCAGATTAGATGGTCTAGCAACCAGGGCAAACGAAATCATACATTCAAAGATAGCTCTCTCTCTCCAGTCAACTTTGAATCTAGCCCAATAATTGTAAATTCCAAATGGAGGACTCTCGTATTCGAACCTTAAAGGACCTGATAAATTCGTTCCGCTTTCTCGAGCAGTTCATGAACTCCCATATGCAATGCATTAACTCTGAGGAAAGAGGATTGCGGCAGAGTATGGACAACTGGGAAACAACCCACAGAACTTTCGAACGCCTAGGAAATCTGCAGGACTTACAGGTATGGATATCGAAATTAAAGTGAAAAGTAAATATTAATTAATTAAATTTTAAGGAATTATTGGACGAATATCAGCGCCAGAAAAATAAAATTCTGTCAACAATCCAGACATTTTTGGACTATAACAAGGACCTCAGAGGCACCAAATACTACTTGGAGGCAACCAATCTCATCCAGAAGCAGAAGGCCTTGGAGTGCCCCAATACCGAGCAGACGATGGGTCAACTGGACGGAGGAAACCAAACCCTAGCAGCTGCAGAAGGACACGTGGTAGAGGTAGATCCTCAACATGCAGATCAGAAGCTTTCCAAAGCTAATTAAATGGTTAATGTATATTTTAAAAATTACCTCTTTTAGGGTTTGATAAGCCTACAAAATATATTCAGACCATGAAAAACTTCTCATTAGTACTAATTTTAGTTTATTTTAAAAACTATGATAGCTAAACTCCATATATCCCTCAAGGGGAGTCTGGAAGTTGCCTTTTTTGAAACCATCCTGCGGGGTTGACCTGAAAAAGGTATGCGGCCAAACCGCAGGCTAAAGTAATTTCTACTTAGCCGCAACTAACTACGGCCAGCACGGAAAAGTGTTGGAAAAAAGGCGAGGAAAACTTTGGAACGCCTCAGAAATTAAAATAAAGTGCCAAGAAAGTGAAAAGCGAGTGGCCCATGCCCTGGGAGCAGCAGCATCTTGAAGTTCTGGCCAAAGCCAAAGCCCGGCCAACTTCCGTTTGGGCCAACACCGTACCGCAGCAACCACTTCTTGTTGCCATTACTTTTTCCATTCTTATTCTGGCCTTTACCCTTGCACGGTTAGAAATGAATATATTTAAGATCGATTTGAGGATTTAAAATGTCCCTTATGGTAATTAACTAAAAGCTCTTTCTTATTTTAGCATTCTGAGGAGGCTTTTGGCATAATGAGGAGAAGAAATATACAGACATATAAGCACATATAACAGTTATTGTCGATTAACTTCAGGGGAACATAATATACAACTACAAATATTTTCTTGAAATGGTATTAGTATTCACCAATCTAACAATTGCCCTTTTATTTCCTCTGTAGGCCTGCGGCGAGTGCGTAGGCGTTGAGTCCACGTCTCTTTTAATAATTTGTAACTCATTTTCCACTCGGAAAACAAAATAACGACAACAACTGTAGTAGCGGCGGCAGTGGCGAGTATTTCACCTTTTGAGCTTTTTCGCTTCGGCCATGGGCAAAGCCTAGCACAAAGTGAAAAGTAAAAAAGTGAAAAGTAGAAAGTTCTATGCCAAAAAGTCGCAAAAAAAGAAGAGGAAACTTTTCTTGGTTCTGAGTAAGGACATTACATTTGGGTTAACAGGCAAATTACACAATTGGAGTGGTCCAAGAAACAGTAGCTCAAGAGTGTGTACTAAAAACCTTCCACAGGACCCTACTTGACATTTTTAGACCGAGCTCCCTTAAAAAATGATCGAAACAACTTTCTGTGAAATATTCCTCTAGTCGCAAACTGTTTTATTTTCAAGTAATGCCTTCTATGGACTTACAACTAGCATCGAAAAAGTATTATAAAAAGATTCCGGCTCAAATTTAAATCGACGAGCGGAAGGAACTCCAGAACCTTCAACAAAGCCAAGCTATTCAGATTGTTGTTCTCAAGAGAGATCGACTGCAGTCTTGGCAACCAGGGCGCTCCACATGCCAGAATGGTTGAAGGTGGCTCAGATTATTCCGATCTAGCCAAAGGTGCTCTAACTCTGGCATCTCGCGCGCCAAGATCGACAGCACCGAGCTCATACAGGGTGGATTGGCCAGGGCGAAGAACTTTCCCTGCACGATTCCGTCGTGATGAAACAGAGTTAGGTCTAAGCTCCGCTTGGAGGGATCATATCTGGCCATAATAGCCTGCTTCAGGGCCCTTTTGTTATCATCTTCATTCTGAATAACGGGCATCCGGTGGTTAACCCTCAGCCACAGGCTGAGAGCCGGAACAGGGCACTCGCCACGGCATATTCATTGACTTAGAAGACAAAGAGAGCGCCAGCGTCTTTTGCCGCATCAAACTCCCCGCCAGAGTGCAGTTATTGGGGCTTCAGCTTCATTGGTGTTATCTCCCTCCGAATGGTTCGCAGGACGCGGTTAACACCCAAATGATCCTTGCTGAATACCAAGACACGATACCATCCATGTGTACTAACGGGCAGGCTGGTAACTTGCCCCACAGGTTCGGATTCCTCCGCCTTCTCGGACTTTGGTGTGGAGTGGAATAGAGGACCTACACTGCCGTTGCGCTGCGGTGTACTAGGCATAGTCACGTAGAAATGGGTTAGAAAATCGCTCTTCTAAAGAAATACTGATTGAAAAGTTGATTTTTTTTTAAATATGATTTTTTGACAATACAAAAACCGAGCGAAAGCTTGAAAATTTAAATATAACTTGGTTAGAAAAACGACTTTCTTACTATAAAAATACTGACTGAATGGTGATTTGTAATAACGCATGGGACGTATACCAGTAAAGTAAAATTTAATTTTGATTTTGGTCAAGAGAGTAAGCTAAGTTAAATTAACAATTTTTATAATATTTCAAATATTTTTTTACAGAACTTTTCAAACTTGAAAAAAATGACTCTCTGAATAGACAGAAAAACATTATTTTTATTTTTGAAATCTACGTTTTATTTTTCCAGTGTAAAGTAAGCAGTTCGACGACGTAATCCTAGTTGGAGTAAGCAGTTCAATGACGTAAAATGTAAAATTTTTGACGCCTTCTGTTGTGGTTGGTGCATAAATAACTGGAGTTTATACACGTATAACAGTTTTCAGTAAGTATTCCTGTAACATAGCCTATAGAGGTCGCTAAAATCCAAAAACAGTAATACACTTAGCCGAAATAGAATGACTTTCGTTATCTTTTTCCTTTAGTTGAAAATTTATAAATAAATTCATTTTAAAAATATTTATTTTAAGAGAATAATTTTATTAAGCGGCAAAGAGGTAAAGTGAATTTAATAATTACCTAATCCTCTAAATTTTAAGCGTTCTTTGTAATTGGTTGTTTAAGCAGCCATTGATTGTCCTAAAAGAGAATGTACTTAAAGCTATAGAAAACCACAAGCATGGCCAGCACACCCTGAGGAATAGCGAGTGTTGGAGCAGATGATCGCTTCTTGCTATACTTCTTAATGGTGTGCGTCGATTGCACAATGACATGTTGCGGCTGTCCTTGAGCGGGTTGTGAAATGGCATTGGGTTGCACTGCTGGTACGACCGGAACAGGGGCAGGCACAGGAACTGGCAAAGGAGCAACAGGAGTTTGAAGAGGAGCTTTTGGATCTACGAATCCTATAGCAGGCGCAGGAGCTGGAACTATTGGGACTGTGACTGGAGCAGGTGCCGGTGCAGGAGCAGCCACAGGAGCTGGAGCAACAGGAGCAGGTACAGAAGCGGCAGCAGGAGCGGCAACAGGAGCGGCAGCAGGAGCAGCAACAGGAGCTGGCGGACCTGCCGCTGGAACTTGAATCACTGGGAAAGGCTGTGGCATCACTGGCACGTTACCAGCACTGGGAGAAAGCTGCGGAGCTGGCTGGTTGGTCATCTGCAGGGTGGGACAAATCAGGTGCTCGGTTTCCGTATAGGTCTTGGGATTATCGGGATTGGGCTGACGGATAATTTGCTTGTAGCAACCATTGGCATCGGGTGCGCCTGTCTCAATGACGGTCGCCTTTTTGGGATCTGGCTGCACCGGCACAGCTACGGCAATGGGAACGGGTGCTGGAGGAGCGGGAGCAACTGGAACGCCTCCTGCATAGTAGTGATGGACTTGGGCAACCGGAGCAACCGGAGCAGCGGCTGGAGCGGCAGCCGGAGCCTGATTAGATTTGGCCACCATATGGCCTAAAAGACCGCCAGCAACTACTCCGCCGAGGAGACCAGCACCTAAAGGGAGTGTGTGAGTTTGTTATTTGTTAAAAAAAAATATAAAATTAATATAGCTTTTACCGAAAGCCCTTTTGCGACCGCGTCCAGGGCGAGCTTGACTAAATGGCACCAGACTCAAGCCGAGCAGGGCCACCAGGACTAAAACCTTAACCAGGTTTCGATTCGTCATGGTTAGTTAATGGAACACAAAATACTCGCACTCAATTCGGAATATATATTTGGTTAATTTGGCGATCAGAATCGAAGTGATCGCAATCAGAATAGCGCTCCTGACTCACTTGTTCGCGACGACAATGTTTTGACGACTTTCCAAATATTTACACAGTTGTGCTGCAAAAGTTAACGAAATTCGTAGTGCGCCGCATGGTATGGTTCGTTTTAATTTCAATTTTAGCGGCACATGAAACGCTCATTAACACGCTGAGGTCTTATACCATGACGTGAGGCTGTTTTATGTATTCGTAGACCCTGAAAGATTTTAGAAGAGAACGTTTATTATTTAACAAATTGTTTAAGGTGTAAGAAGCATTGAACTCTATTATTTCTCAGGTAGCAGAGGCATCGGAGAGTGTTCAATAACAATGATAAATAGGTCTTGAATAATCTAAAATATTCTATATACAGACATTTATATTACAGATATTAATATACGCTCTTGATTTTACCACTTGCGTGTTCTCCTGGCTACATTGTTGCAACTTTCACCTCTACAGAATGGCTGTCTTAAGCCGCTTGTCTCTTCAAAGCTATAACAAAACCGATGTAAAAGAGAACAGACATAATGGCAGATCTGAAAGTGTTGTTATTAGCTCGGCTTAAGGTTGTGTGATTTAAGCTCCAAAAAAATGTACAAAATGGTATCGGTAAAAAAGAGCAAACGGTAATTGTTTAATGAGTGGCAGTCGTTCCTCTGCCGCCCTTTTGAATTCCATTTCGGCAGCCTGATGGCCGAAATTTGGTAGTTTCGGGCGACAGGACCGAGAGCAGCAGCTGGCAGAAACATGGTGGTTAAGTCCTGCACATGGCACGTGAGGCTCCATTTAATTTTCATCATTTCTCGGCCAGCCCTGGAGGACACGCAAGCCGGTTCGTCTTAACACTGGAGCTGCGAAGGCCTCCCTATCCCGCCCGGCAATTCCTGCGGCTCCAGCAGCTATTGATTAAATCGGCTTAAAGCCTTGACTAATGATGACAGAAGATTTGGCCGGAGAACATGAAGCGCTAGAGCGCATAATTCGCTGGTGGAAGCCGCCGAGTCATGGGGCCGCACTGGCAACTCGGTGTCGGAATGACCTGCATCAAATGTTTCGTCCTGAGAAATATCCAGTCATTTGTACTCGCCGGATTTGCCGGCAATTTGTGAGACGCGACTTTAATTCGCTTAATAAATATTTACTTAGTTTCTGGGCTCGCTCAGGTCTGCTTCGGCTCGGTTAGAGGAGGTGGGAAAAAAGGGACATGGGCAGCAGCGGCATCTTCTCCTTAAGCACAATGGACAATTGTCAATTGCAGGACATTCTCTGCCTTTTTGGGGGTGCGACACTCGAGTTTCACTTCCCAGTCAGCCATAAATCATTCAGCGGGCGATACACTGGAGGAAAATGAGGAAATAAAACTAGAGATTAAAGGAGTTCTACTGGAAATGTTAAAAATAGATAGATAGATAGATAATAAAGAATATTAAATTTAGATACCATATTTACCCAATAATTTTATGGTTTTTCACCTCTTTTCTCCCTGTGCAGCCTGGAGATGATGACGAGGAAACCGTCAGAGGCAGGAAGTGCCGGGACATGCGGCCAGGACGCAGTGCAGCTCTTCTTTCTGGCCGCTGATGGACATCTTGGGGCCAGGGACCTCTGTCGAAGGTTTCTCCTCCCTCGCTTCGCCCAGGGATAATGATGCGCAAATCGCTGGCAGTCATCGCAGCCTCCGCTGCCAAATCCTGCGAATGTGCTGCTGCTTTGTTTCATGTTGTGGTTGCTGGCTTTTAGTTGCCTCTATTATCCTTAATGCGAGTCACTTTGTTAGGAACGTCAGTCGTCGGCCTGCAAGCCCCATTATCGTCATCGTGCTGGATGGCCAAGGGAAAAAATATGAATCGGAAAATGTGCAGACACGCCGCCTGCCGCCGAAAATGCACGAGGATAAAGATAAAACATGACAGGCGGTTCACATCCAGTCATTTATAATAGGGCCAATATGACCGCGACCGCATGTGGCCGCGCCCCTTTCCTCCCTGCCGCAGTTTATCATCCAGGAGTCGGAGTCTGAGTCGTAGTTGGAGCCGGAAGGCGGGCTGGGACCGGGTCTCACCGGAGAGAGCATACGAAAAGAGCTCCTTGGGGCAGAGCAAGGCTAATGAAATAATTGTTGCCAGCTATTTACAAGCATCTAATTCCAATTCCGATTCCGATTCGATGGGCTGCCAATAAAAATATGCCATAATTATCTAGAGCCCAGGCTCTGCTGCGGCCAAGATAAACCAGTCCTGGTCTCGGCACAGGCTGCAATGTTAATGACATAATTTAAAAAGCATTTCATTAATAGCCGATGTCAGCCGCTGGGCCGAAGTCCAGGAGTCTGGAGGGAGGCAATTAAAATGCGGACAAAGAAAGCTTGTTCGAGGCCGGATTGGAAATTCAGATGCTGCTGGCCGGGCTAGAATGTTAATGGTAATTACAACTGATTCGCAACGAATATGGGTGAATAAGTTGCCCGCTCTTTAAAATAAACTGAAGGAAGGAAAGCATAATTTAAAGGCAACCACTTAAAAATAATACAAAATAAAAACACACACATTTATCTGCTTCCTTGAACAAGAATTTAAAGAAAAGTCTCTTTAGCATTCGCGTTTTTTCTCCAGCTCCTGGTTATCTTGAACCTTGGCATCGTCTCCGCGGCCACCGAAAATATGTTTTGGCCACGCAACCCCCAATGTCCTGGCCATGTCAAATCATTTGTATATAATTCACATCCTTTTCGCTATTCGGTATTCGGTCTTTGTGCCCGGCCGTGGTGATTTATGGCCTGCTCTTCTTTCTGCCATGTTTGGAAATGTTTCTGTGTAAATATGCCAGCAGCGGGACACATTCCAAATTGGTCCGTGCAAATTGTTTGCCTCAGCACTAATATCCTTTTCGCAGGATGTCGCCGCTGCTCGCTTTTTAGGTAATTGCTGACTCCTGCCATTCCGGCTGGTAAGTTATTCGATTCCGATACGAAAATTTGATATTCCGACCACATGCTGTGATTAAATTGTTGATGCCAGCTCTTCTCTCTGGCAGTTTTGTGTTTTGTAATTGAAAATATGTAGTTTTTGGCACTGATGAGAGAGCAAAACTTTGTCTGAATAGGCGTGACTGAGATTGTAGCATTTGATTAGAAGTTGGGAGCAAAATGACATTGTCTCGGGATTTTAAGGAAGCAAGTTTTTTACAGTGATCAGTTTGCGTTTATTTTGTTGCCAAACTAATGCACTTGGATCATGTGGGTGGCTGTTTTTCCTATTTATCTTTAATTTATCAGGAAAAACTAAGCCAAAGCTAAGAGATATGTCTTAGCAATCTTAGTTAATTAATAAAACTTAGTATTTAACCTGCTTCGACTATCCACACTTGCTCACTGTATATCTGCAATGACTTCTGTAATTTTCTCAAATTTAATTTTCAACTTTTGAGCCTGGCCCCTGCCCCGTTTTGGAGGCACCGCCTGCTGTGCCATTTATCAAAACTAATGCTCGGAAATTTCACAAACTATGGCACGGCACGGGCTCGGATGCTTTACGCAACACTTGAGAGCTGCAAATTTAGTAAATTGGAAATCGGTTGCCGCATTCCGAGACCGCAGACCATCGCCTGATAGGTTTGCCGCCGAGCGGCGATACACAACTGGACGGCGGTGGGTGTGGCCTGGTCCGGTCCCGACCTCGGATGAGTTCCTGGTCAGGCCAAAAACTTCAAGACGGGCAGGGCATGTGCATTTGTCATAAATTAGAAACTGTAACTACGAGTGTGCTCGCTTTTTGCGGCCAGCCCAGCCAGCACTTAGATTTATTGCAAATAAATCTTCCTCCCCATAACTTTTTTCAGTGCACATTTTATGCTTCGCACTCGTGCCGGTCTTGGCTTGATTTTTGTGGCCCAGCAAACTAATCAACGCCCCCAATTCGCATTGCGGAAGGTGGCCCTGGGATGAGGCAATAGCCAGGGGCTAAATGAAGTGTGTAAAACGGCGGCGACCCCTTTCAATTATATCTCGGCCTGTGTGCTCAGTGAAAAGTAAACAGAAACTTGGCCACAATGGAACCCGAGCCCGAGTCGGCCAACGCATATAAATCTTGGCCTAAGTGTTGTGGTCATTTAGCAAATGTCCGGCAATGTCCGGCATGCAAATTTGTATATCTTTTTAGCCGGGGTGAGTTGCACACTTAGTTGGCTTCCTTATCGCAGCCGAAGATGGGTGTCCTGGCTGGTGTGATTTATAAAATGTATTAATTAAGCTGTCCCGGGTGGCGATACCAAACAATGCTGGAGAGAAATTTGAGGACCAAGCCTAGGGAGGTAATGTCAAGTTAAATGGTCTATAAACGCAACTGGGAAATCTTTAAGATGTTTTTCAGTTCTCTTAATTGTTAAGTTTAACAAATCTTTGTTGTCATTTTAAAAATCACAGCAGACTATTACCAGTTTACAAAATGCACAGCTCTTTACCCTCTTTTCAAACATATTAAAACGAATTTAATGGGTTAAAGACTTAAAAAAGAAAAGTTCAATGCCAGGGGATATTTTGGCAGACATCTCCAGTACCTTCTCATTTTCTTTCTCAGTTTCTCCCCCTTGTTTCCTTTCTCATGTCCTTCTTCTCACTTCCTTTCCTAGTAGCTCCTTCTTAGCGCAAACATAAACACATAAGTGGTAGTCCTGTCAAAGTCAAAAATAAACGCAGCGACAATAATGATTTATGGGCGGCGAGGCGAAAAGGAAAGGTCCTGATTCTGTGAAAGGAATCCAAGGATTCGGGGGTGACAACTGGGTAAATGTATGAGAATCCCGAGATATGCTAAAGTATGTCGTTGCTAGAAAAGCGCGACAAATGCGTATATAATTTGTAAGACAGCACACAGGGATAAGGACACCAGACTTTTCCTAGAATCATATTTATTTAATTATTTAACAACGGTAAGGCGATAAATCTAGCTTGGAAAATATTTATTTAATTATTATATCAAGCCAATACATTATTATAATAATACTCTGGCAGGTTTGTACAAAGTATTTGTAAGGTTTTCCATAAATGTGGAAGAGTCTATATTG